AGCAGGTGGACACTGAGTTGGGACACACAAGCAGGCAGGACCGGGAGATCAGCATCTTGATATTCTGGCTATTCAGACACTTGAATGAGTAAGTGGGACTACAGCAAACGGATGTTGGCTTATTTTCTCCCCTTCAATGTACCAGCAGGAGCAGCAGCAAAACAATTTAAAAAAAAAAAAAAAGAGATCTGGTCAAAGGCTTGTGCAATTCCCAGCACACTATAAATCAGATGACAAAAGCCTAGAGTGTTCATCTCAACAGCCTCTCAAATTCCTTGGGCCTTCCCAAACTGATGCTTTTTTGGCTCCCTCCTCCTGGCTGTCATCTGCTAGACAGCACTGCCAGATAACCTGTACTACACACTCACTTAACTCTGGAAAGGTCGCTGTCTGGCCAAAGTTGGCCATGAATTGAGTGTATATTGAAATGGCAAAACTGTCCTTACCTGCTTGTTAGGTTTAGACTTGGAATCTAAGACTAAAGGCCCTGCTCCCCTGCCAGGTGATAAGTGACTATGTTAGATGCAAGGATGTATTTTAGCTGATCTCCCTGCTAGCCTCCCCCTTGGATGGGAAGACAAGTATCACAGCCTCACTTCCTGGTGGGCTTTTTGATAATTTTTTTTCTTTTTCTTTAAGACAGGATTTTGTTATGTAGCCCTAACAGAACCGAAACTCTTTGTAGACTGGCCTTGAACTCGTCTATAATCCTCCAGACTCTGCCTCCATGCCCAGCTAGAGTCTTTCTAAATAACCCAGGCTTGCCTTGAATACATTCAGTCACCCAAGCTGGCCTCCAACTCTAATGATCCTCCTGCTTCAGCATTCTGAATCCTGGACTCACAAGCAAGTGCTGTGATTCTCCTGGGTTGCTTTTGCCCACTAACACTTTCACCCAACTTTCCCTACAAGGCCAAGCAATTGGCTGCCACTAAATGAAAGCTTTTAGCATGCCTTCTAACTGGAGAATGAGTCAGTCCCGCTGCCAAAGAAGCCTCCCAGTTGGTCTCAGAAGCTGGAACCAGAGAGGGTGTTGCAAAAGGTAAAAGGCAACCCCTGGGCCACACCCTAGACTGCCTAGGATTAGTAAAGTGGTAGACGCCACCCCGGGCCACAACCACATCTCAACTCTCAACTAAGAAGAAGCCTACCCTTTCAGAAACTTTTCATATTTTTTCTTGTCTTTATTTTGTTTTGTTTTGGGAGGACAGGATTTTTCTGTAGCTTTGTAGCCTGCCCTGGAACTCACTCTTGTAGACCAGACTGACGACCTGAAACTCACAGAGATCCATCCACTTGCCTTTGCCTCCTGAGTGCTAGGATTAAAAGTGTGTGCAACCACTGTCTGGCTTTTTTCTTGTCTTCTGAACTAGGGTCATACCATATTTATTGCCCATGCTGGTAGGCCCTGAACTTGAGATCTGTCTGACTCAAGATCCTGAGTGCTGGGCTTACAGGAGAACACACATTTTCCAGCAGGATGGGAGGAACAGGATGCTGGCTGCTGAGGCACTTCCTCCTCTCTCTTCTCCCAAGAGGGCACACAGCACATATATTCACCCAGATCACATACTTACTCTTGTTTCCAGAGGACAACCCAGTTTGGCTACTTTTTTTGTTGTTGTTAAGTATGTTATTCAATTTCAAAAGCTGCTAAGGAGCTGTTAGTCTTAGCCAGCTCCTTGGAGAGGAACAATCAGAGCAATGGAGCAAAATACCAGATGGCTACTGTGGGGTCTAAAAGAAAAAATGCCGGGGGCTGGCTTATAAAAAAAAAAAAAAAAAACACTATCAGAACTTTCAAATAATTAACTCACATTTAATACAGGCTGAGCCAAAGGTCAGGGTCTAACCCTGAGGTCCGTAAACAATGGTGTGCCAGTGAACACTCAAGCTCAGAACAAGGCGTTTCCTCTTACTGTAGGGAGAGGTTTGGGGGTAACTCTCAAGAGAACTCAGCCTTCCACAGGAGCAGGGGATGTTACTGAAGACATGTGAGGACAGGTCTACAGCCACACAATCCTAAGGATGACCAGTACCTGAACGGGACAAACTAGGAAAGGGAACTAAGGACTCTTGATTGCTCAAGGGTTTGCTTAAAGGCCTATAGTTCCAAGCTACTCAGGAGAACGAGGCAAATGGATCACCTGAGCCCGGGATTCAGGGACGGCCTGAACATAAACCTATAGACTAAAACAGTAATACTAAAACCTTCTTAAATCCTTTTTGCTGTTGTTAGTTGGCAGGGGACCAAGACAGAGTTTCACTGTAGCTTTGGAGCCTATCCTGTAACTTGTTCTGTAGACCAGGCTGGCCACAAACTCAAGAGATCCTCCTGCCACTGTTGGGATTAAAGGAAAGGCGTGCTCCACTGCCACCCAACAATATTAGTCCCGTCCATCCAGAGTGTTCATAGCTGCCAAGGAACACCTGCTGCATAACCTCCATACTGATAACGCCATGGGTATGGGGGCCCCTAGGATTCAGAGCAATGGCTTACAGACACATTCTTGACCTGGGCCAACTCCTGCTTCAGCTGCTGCAGTCACAGAGTTTGAGTGTGTGGACAGGTATGGCCAGGACTGTCAATTTTCTGTCATTCACACTCACAAAGGTTGTACAGGATCATGGGAAAGGCACAGCCACAAAACAAAAAAGGAAAGTCCTAGCCATCTTACTGGGGGTTGGGTTGGAGGCTCTTGAAGGAAGGAAAAAAAAACGCACCTACTGATAGATTCCTTTCCAGACTCCTCCCCCCACTGCACCCGTGCAGGCCAGGGTGCAGAGGTGAAGCAATACTTTTCCCTAAAGGACAGCTAAGTGTAAATATTTGTTGCAGTTATAAAGCAAGCTCACTAGAGCCAGGCCCTTACAGAGCGCTGAAGCAACTGCAGGCAGAGGATGGTATAAGCCACCCTTGTCTTCCACCTTTCCTGGATGGGAAGGAAGGAACCAGGAAGGAACAGGTGAGAATGACACGGGTAGCAACGGGCAGCAACGGGTTCTGGTGAGTTCTGGTTCCCACCAGGGCCTGAGTACACACCAGCCTCACCATACGGGTTCCCTTAAGAGTGGGATAGAAAGACAGAAGCACCAAAGGTTGGTGGAAGATGTGAAAGGAGGGTGCCCTTCTAGCATCTAAGAAAAAAAAGGGGTGGAGGGATGGCGGCACACATTTTCTTAAACACTAGAAAAGATCCAAGACATTCTCAAAGCCGATGCTGTGATCCAGTTTCCTTCCAACTTTCAAAGTCTTTCGGCCACTTTCAATCTTTTCCAATCCGGTATGGCCTCAGGCAATAATTATTGTTGGGGTCCAGACTAGATCTCCCCTTCCTTTCAAAATGTATTCATTCACCAGCTAGCAACACACCCACTCCATTAGGTAAAAAGGTGTAAGACACCAACACCAATGCTACCTGCCACCCGTTACGACTGCTCAGAACATTCAAGCTGACATTGGTGATCGAGCCAAAGTTACACTAGGCCCCAGCTCAGGCTGCCCAGTCACAGAGCACCAACTCCCTAGAGTTGCCCACAGGGAGGTCCGGGAAATTTCACCAAACCGGCTCTCTCCCACATCCTCAGGGTCCCGCTCCCAGCTCCCAAAGTCCAAATTTCTTGCAGATCCCCTTTGCAAAGTCACCAAGAGGACCTTTCTGATCCTCTCCCATTTTACAACATTGCCCTAAGAGATCAAGGGTCTTGTCAAAACCACAGTGCCCATCAGAACGTTACAAATCTGGAAAGTCTAAAACTCTAGAATGCATTAAATCGCTTCTAATTTCAACTACCTCCCACCCTCGTCACACGCTCGCGAACCCCCCCACACTCTCACCCACTCAACACACCCTTCTTTAGCTCTGCCTGCAGACGTTCACACCCTCTCTTACCAGAGCTCCCCTCTCAACCACTTTAGACCCTGTCCCCATCACCACCCATGGCCTCCTACTCTGACCTCCGCTTTGCCACTGTGGCTGCTCTTCTACACTGCCTCACCTCACAGTATCGTCAGAAAACACTGCCTAGCAGTCCCTTACCTGACCCCCCTTCCCACCCGAAGCCACTACTCTCCCTGAGCACTCACTTCGTCCTTCTTGAACGAAACAACCCCTTTCTCAGGCTCCGTAGAGTCCAGGGCCATTTTCCCAAACTAACCCCCTTCCCTCATCCTGCATTCCAGCTTTCACTGTCTCCCTCCACTCTCACCCTTACCGGACTACATTTCCCTCGTGTGCCTGGAACTCCTTCCTGTTTCACCACCTCACCCTTCAAAGCACCCACAAACACTGTTGGGCCTCTCCATCAATTCCACTTCTTTACCGTCCAACCTTCTCTTCCCTTTACAACAGGGCACCCTCTGTAAATCTCACCCCCTTCACAAACATCTCGTGCCTAGGCCCCACTGAAAAATAAACAAACCCGATCTTCTCAGACCCCTAGTCCCATCAGACCATCTTACGATCCCTAGCCAGACTCCTTAGCCCCCCTTCTTCACCTTCCCTGATTCTCCATCTCTTCTAGAACTCACATACACACACAAAGGCTTCCGCAATTCCAATCTCTGATTCTCTGACCTCCAGACCATCTCTTCCACCCCGGGGTTCTAAAAACCCCCAGGTACTATCCAGGCTCCCCAATTCCCTTCCCGGACCCCGTTGCTTGCCTGGGCCCTCCCAATCCTTCCTCTAACCCTGCAATTCCGCCTTAAAACCCAGTTCTATTTCAATCGCACGATCATCACCTCAGTTGCCCCAGTTCCCCGCCCAGCCTTCCACAGCCTTCGACAGGTTTCCCGGATCTCATACCTAGCCTCCACTTTTTTTTTTTTTCCCCTCCAGACTGCCAACTGCTTCCTCAACCTCTGCTACCCCTCTGCGGGACTCCAAATCCCTTCCCGGTCCCGCCAACTGTTCTCAGGACCCCCCCCCCCATCCAGTGCCTCCCCGTACTCCCTCCCCCGCAGGACGCCACCCAGCCCGGCCCGCGGGGCCGCGCACCTTGCGCTGCTGCTTCTCCCAGGCCGGGTCCAACAGCAGGTCCCGGTCCCAGTCATCCTCCTGGGCCATGTAGTCGCCCATGCTGCCGCCGCCGCCCGCGCCATTGCCGCCGCTGCTCGGGCCGTACTGGTACGCCTGGTTCGCCGCGTGGTAGTCCACCATACCGCCGCCTCTCGCTAGCCCGCCAGCCGGTCCGCTCCCGCCTCAGCTCCCGCCCCTATGCCGGAGCCTCCGACTCAGCCGCCGCTTCAGCAGCTTTCAGCCCGCCCAAGACTGACGCCTGCGCGCTACGCTCGCGACGCCTGCGCACTGAGCCGCCGCCGCCGCCCTCCCGCGCGCGCGCACCTGAGGAGCCGTGCCCGACACCAGACGTTCGGCGCCTGCGTAGAACACACCTCCGGCTGCCCGCCTAGCGTGGGAGCCCAGGCGCCTCTCGCGTGAACGCGCGCGTCTGCGGCCCCCCGCCGCGCGCGGCATTCTAGGGTGGGCGGAGCCCAAGTCATGAATGATTCATAAGGCGGGGCTCGTCGTCCGGCTTTAACCTGTTTCGGGGTGGAACGTGTTCCCATTCAGCCATTCAGACGTAATCAAAATTTATTGGCTGCCTACTGTGTGCGAAACCCTGTTTTATGCCTCGGCCCTAAAGAAGTCAAAAAGCTCCTCATGAAACTATCGTCTAGAATCCCTGCATTGTGGTACATGGGGCCTCTGGTCTCAGGCCGCTGAGACTGAAGGATAGATATAGCATGCTTGGGGCCAGCCTAGGTTAGTTATATGGGAGGCCCCTATCTCAAATCAAATAAATGGTTGAGCTTAAAGCTAGGCCTGGGGACAAATACCTGTATGTCAGACTTGGCATACAGGAAGTTTGAATCTGGCCTGGACTATATGAGGACTTTATGAGAGAGAGAGAGAGAGAGAGAGAGAGAGAGAGAGAGAGAGAGAGAGAGAGAGAGAGAGAGAGAGAGAGAGANGAGAGAGAGAGAGAGAGAGAGAGAGAGAGAGAGAGAGAGAGAGAGACTGACTGGACTATAAAGACTTCAGGGTAGGTTCATGGAAAATTATATTTAAAGAAAACTCGAAGGATTCACAAGATATACATGGAGCTGGGTTAGATTGGAATAGAGAGATAAACAGTAGCTGGGAAAGCAGAGGATCTTTTTGGACTTGTCTGTCCTCACTCAACGAACACTAAACACCTACAATGTGCAGGCGCTGGCCTACTAGGAACAGAAACAAAAGCCTAATCAATTATCAAATGACTAACCTTGTAGTGGAGATGGGCAATAGTAAGAAACCTGGAAACTAGGCTTGGTGGTGCACTCCTTTAAACCCAGCACACAAAGCCAGCCTGGTCTACAGATTGAGTTCCAGGAAAGCCAGCGCTACAAAGAGGAACCTTATCTCTAAAAAACCAAAAAGCAAAAAAGAAAGAAAAGAAGCACACACGGGAAAAGAATAGTGCCTCATTAACAGGCGTCTGAAATCGGATTTGTTGTCCAGGTCACCTCCATCTTTAAACACAGTTTCAAGCTTCCTCCTCGCAGATGCTGGCTTCATCTTCTCTCTACAGGGTTTCTTCAAAAGTGGCCATCACACCAGCAGCCTTCTCTCTGCCTCCCACTTTCTTCTCCCTCCAGCCCCAGTTTGTTGCTGTTGTCTGTTTTTATTTGTTTTGTTTTAGTTTTTCGAGACAGGGTTTCCCTGTAGTTTTTGGTGCCTCTCCTGGAACTAATTCTAGTAGACCAGACTGGCCTTGAAGTCACAAAGATCTGGCTGCCTCTGCCTCCCTAGTACTGGAATTAAAGGCGTGCCACCACCGCCCAGCTGTTTGGTTTTTTTTAATTTACATTTATTTATTGTGTGTGGGGGGGGCAGGAGTGCGCGTGACACACGTGGACGTCAGACAGAGTTTGTCCTTGGCTTCTACCACTGGAGTCCTGGGAATCCTGCCTTGGACCTTCAGACTGGGCCACGTGGCTTGCTACCCCCTTCTCTTGCAGAATCTTTTTTTTTTCCCCCTGTACTGGATATTAAAGTTAGGACCTGCCAGATGAGCCCTCTGCCAATGGAACCTTATCTCCAGCTCTTTTTTTTTCCTTTGTATTTTGAGGCAGAGTCTCACTAAATTACTCACATTGGCCTGGGCCTTGGGATAATCCTGTTGCAGCCCCCAGGGTAGCTGGGAACACTGACTGTACGGCCAGGCCTCCCCCTCCTCTAGAAAACACACATTTGTCTGAGTCTGGAGGATTTCACTTGACATGATGGTTTCCACGCCACGTTTTTTTTTTCTTTGAGGCAGGGCTTCTCTGTGTAATCCTGGCTGCCCTGAAACTTGTTCTGTGGACCAGGCTGGCCTTGAACTCAGAGTTCTGCTTCACAGAGGCCAGCCTCTGCCTCCTGAGTGTTGGGGTTAAAGGTACGTGCCACTACCACTCAACCTTCACGTTTTCTTATGTGTGGAAATTTGGTTCTCATGCCAGCGTAGGCTTTAAAATAGTAAGAGTTTCTATTTACTATGGGGGAAGGTTCTGGGGTTTCAGACCCAGAGGGTCCTCCACATCTGGGTCCTGGTTTTCCTCTTAGCCTACCTTCCACTCTCTCCCTAGCTTGCTGGCCTCCTCGCTCCTGCCTCCTGACCGAAAGCTCCTAAGCTTGCAAGGCCTTTGCACACAGTACCGTGTTGTCTGTCTGCTGTACTTTCCCCACATTCCGAATCTCCATGACTCACAGCCTCCTCTTCTGCAGATCTCTGCTCTTCCAAGAGCCCGTCCCTGACCGCTTTATAGAAAATAGCTTTGTGGGTTGGAGGAGTGGAGGAGTGTTTTGTTGGAGCTCACCAGAGAGGAATTGGGGGTGTGCCTCAGCTGGTAGAGCCTAGAATCCAGTAGTGAGGGTTTGGGAGCATGGCTCAGAGGTAAAGGGCTTAGCTAGAATCCACCGGTGAGGGCCTGGGGGCATGGCCTACATACAGGTTGAATGCTTGCCTAACCGGAGGTGCTTAAGTTGCATTCAGAAGTCCGCTAAACAAGAACTGCCTCCTGCACCTTTGTCCATAATACTTTTCACTGTTGATTGATTGCTGTTCTGTCTTGGCTGTTTCTTTCCCCAAAATAGCAACCCACAAGGGAGGGAAGGGGACCTTTGCTTCAGATTCTGTTCTAGCCCTGGCCTCTAAAGCAGTGTCTGGTACCCAGAGGAATCTTACTGATCCGGAGTGAATTTATGAATGAATGGACTGAAAACCAGGTGTGTAACTCAGGTGTACACTCAGGAGGATCTTCTAGTTCAAGGTCAGTCTGGGTTACAAGGAGACCTTGTTTAACAAAACAAGACCTAAACACTGCTGCAATTAGGGGCTGGGAGACAGCTCGGCCGGTAAAGTTAACGCCAAGTCTAATGTCTTAGGGTTTCTCTTGCTGCAAGGAAACACCAGGACCAAATAACAAGTTTGGGAGGCATGAGTTTTATTTGGCTTACACTCTTCAAAGAGGCCAGGACAGGAACTCAAACAGGGTAGGAACCTAGAGTCAGGAGCTGATGGATGGGTGCTGCTTACTGATTTGCTCCTAGTGGCTAGTTCAGACTGCTTTCTTATAGAACCCAGGACCATCAGCTCAGGAACGGCCCCAACAACAAGGGGCTGTGTCCTCCCATCAATCACTAGTTAGGATATGGCCAGCAGGCTTGCCCACAGCCCAGCCCAGCCTAACCCTATAGAGGCATTTTGCTCCCCTCCCACCCCCATGGGGTTTCTCTTTAGCTTTGCAGCACATCATGGAACTATCTTTTGTAGACTAGGGTGGCTTCATACTCACAGAGATCCGCCTGCCTCAGCCTCCTGAGTGCTGGAATTAAAGGCGTGAGCCACCACCACCCAACTGGAGGCATTTTCTTTCTTTCTTTTTTTTTTTTTTTAAAGGTTTATTATATACAGCATGCTTTCCTGCACATCAGAAGAGGGCACCAGATCTCATTACAGATGGTTGTGAGCCACCATGTGGTTGCCGGGAATTGAACTCAGGACCTCTGGAAAAGCAGTCAGTGCTGTTAACCTCTGAGTCATCTCTCCAGCCCCTGGAGGCATTTTCTTAATTGAAGTTCCTTCCCCTCAGATGACTTTAGCATCTGTTGACATTAAGCTATGCAGCACACCTAATGATTGGAGTTTTATCTCCAGATCCTACACAGTAGAAGCATTCCTGACCTCCACAGGTGGAGTGTACACTACACCAAAATAAGCACAAAAAAATTCGAAATATTTTAACTTTGTTGAGAAAATCAGGGTGACCTCCTAGATTTGGGATCTGAACAAAGTGTGAGACCTTTACTAAAATAAGGACTCCAGGGAAAAGGCTAATTTTTATTTAAAGGTAGGGTCTCTAGTAGCCCATTTTGACATCAAACTCACTATTTGAGGATGTATGTGTAGCGCTCCTGCTTGGCCTAGGACTCTCGAAGTGGGTGTCATTGGCCAGCAGCCCTCTGCGGGTCTCAAATAAGCACAGCTGGTTCTATGTTGAGGGTGACGCACCCAGGTACCCTGAGGACAGAAGAGTGCAGATGCCCTGGAACTAGAGGACTGTGGACTATAGCGTGGGTTCTAACAACTGGACCCAGGTTCTCTACAAGAGTGGTGAGTACCTGTGATCACTGTGGTATCTCTCCAACACATTTTTCTTTGAGACAGGATCTTGCCATGTACCCCTGGCTGGCCTGGAACACAGATGCACCTGCCTCTGTCCCCCGAGTGCTGGGATTATAGTATGCACCATGACCAGCACAAAACTACTCCAGACTTTAAGACAGCAATGGCTGGTATGCCTGTTAGTCAGCGTTCCACAACCCAAAGTCTCCCTGTAGCTGGGCCCGATCTTAAGTTCCAAGTAGTCCTCCTGCCTCAGTCTCCAGAATACCAGGAAACCATGGCTGGCCCCTGTCCCTTGTTAACACTGTAAGAGAAATCTACCGAGAAGACTGCCTCCCAGGACAGGAGCAGACAGTGGAGTGTCATGGTGGCCCTGGGAGCAGCTTGAAGGGTGTGTGTGTGTGTGTGTACATGTGCACTCACTCACATTCTCTAGCCAGTAAGTCAGTCAGGAATGGACTAATGTCAGCCAGACTGAAAGCAGGGAAAGACAAGGCTGCCAAAGGACAAAGGTCATTTCTACAAGACAGTTGGCAGGGGGGCCAGCATACCAGGCCTACCCCCCCACCCCCACCATGGCCGGCAGCACCTCAGGCTGACTTCCCAACAGAAGTTATTGTTCCGTCCCCAGAGTTAGGGAGTTCTAGTTCCTGGTGCTTGCTCGTGGGGTCCGGAGACCAGAGCAAAGGGTGTGTGCCCCACCCTGGTTCACGAAGATAGGATCCTCTTAGGAATGTTGTGTGACTG